ACGTCATATTTTCCATTGCTAATTATCTGTGACTTTAATTAATAACGACGGAGCTAAAAATGGTCACATTCCTCTTGCTACCTGCATACGTACGTTCAAAATATATTCTTGTAAATAATATCTTGCGCAAACACTGGAGCACATCCTGTTTCTGTTTTGAAGTCATAACCTACTCCATTTTTGTTAATTGATAGAAGCCAGGTGCTTATTCAGAAGCATAATGGATAATTAATTAAATCAAAGTAAACAATGCTTATATTTACTTGGTTATGTAGGTGTTTATGTATTAACTAAATACATTTAAGTAAATAAATTTGAAAAGCTTCCTACGCATTGATCCACGTATTTGCTATGGTTGGAAAGCATTAATTGGATTATAACAGTTTAAATTAGCTATAATTCTAACTTGGTTTCAAGGTATCAAAACATCTCGTGATTTAGGACTGGACACAAGTGATATATACACGCGGCAGGATATGGTAGGCGTAATTATTTACTGACCTCCACGCGCAGGCGGAATCGATTTGGGTGATTGAATAGCTTATTTTCAACTTAATTTATAAATTTATAGCCACATAGTCGCTACTGACGTTTGATAGGGGGAGGTTGTCGTTGGTCTTGTGCGACAAAAATCTTGCTGCAATCGGGTCTACAAGCGATGGTTTTCAAGCGATGGTTTTCAACCTGTGCTTGAGGTCTGTTCAAGAAAGTAACTTTATTAGATAATGGAATTAGTTTCGAATTATAATTCTGTAAATCAGCAATTTGTATGCATATTTATACGTACATATGAAGTACGTCGGTCCTGTTGGGATCCCGATAGGGATGTTCGCAGTCTAAACCTAAATACTAATTAGTATCGATAGACATTCGTGGGTACATACATTCATTCCAGTAATTTAATAAAGATCACAAATAAAAAGTGCAGCAATAATTAAAAAAGTGGGATATTAGCTAAAGCCGTAAAGGATACATATCAAGGATAAATGTAGAACAAGTGCACTAATCACCACAAATTTCTCACAATACTGCACTTCCGTGTATCAATAAAAATTTAATTCGGACGCATGCTGAACGGACATGCAGTGTTCGCCCTAGTAAACAAGCGCGATTTTCAAAACATGCTTTTTGGCTTATCAAAATACGATGCTTGTTTGCCATTTTGCTCTTGTAGAATTTATAAAATAATAGTTACATAGTTCGCCGCTAGATGGCGAATGTTAAGACAGCAAAACAGCAAAAGAGCAATAAACTATGTAAAAGCCAAACTGCATTACAGTTATCCATGCTATTTTGCTGTTTGGCGAACACTGCGGAGATGTATTAAACTTGATATTTTAATAAATTATGGTAATTCCAAAAATAACGCTAGAGCCATATCATTTGCAAGATTACTTACCAAGTTGCAGAACGTTTTATAAATTATTTCAACGGTAAACAAATTCCTACAATGGCTACACAAACTCCGTACATGCTAAATCCTGTTAGAATTTTGGACTTAGATTGCATCCCTGTATTTTGATCGTCCTTTAAATTTGTCAAGTTTGCATAATGTTGAAATGATTTCTCTGGTTTTAATCGTTTGAAGTAATTATCCCAATAGTTGTAAATTCCTGAAGAGATCATAGCCTTTAACCTCTTCCAGACATAGCTATTCTGCACGGGGACATTTTCCCAGCCGTACGTACTCTGCATAAAACCATCCTCGCCTTTCTTGTAGATCTTGTGGGCTAATGCGTCGTTAAGGAATTCCTGTAGCTTGATGACATTTTCAGCGGTATCGAGGTAACCCGTTTTATTGCAGGAGGATAAAATTTCCACGAAACTTGCCGCATCCTGATGACTCAAGGGTTTTAGGTTCGGACTAATCAGGGTTCTGACATCCTTGATGATCTGAACCTTTATCGTTTCTAGCAGTTGTCGGAAAAAATCGGAATATCTCGTTTGGAGCGTAGTTAGTCGACCTTCCGCCAGGTAAGTTGCACAGGATGCAAGTTTAATTGAAATTTCGGAGTAAAAGAGGTAATCCAAAAGTCCGAACGTTTCCATCGCGTTGATGTCCCTCTCAGGTATGATGGTCTCGTAGGGGACGTAAAACGTAAAGTTTATCGTATCAAGGATCGTCTTCCACGGCGCGGTTTGTTCTACGGGAAGGATCATTTCTTTGGTAAAACTAGTTTTGTAGAAATTCGTCAAAATGGTACCAAAGAGGAAAATGTAGAATCCGGTCAAGGTTCGAAAATTAGTTTTCCAGCTGACCACCGAGTTTTCTAAGAGTATCCCTACGACGAAGAGAAACGCCGCGCTGAAGTTTGTTCGTGGAACGGTGAGAAGGATAAAGGTGATAACGACGGTTGGAAGGATGAGAGTCCAGACTGGTTTTTCGAAAGGAGTGAACAGCTGGGATAACGTCGAAGTATGAGATCCGACCCGGTAGCACGATATAACATTCCAGGATTTCGATTTGATAGGAAGTAAGGAGTGATACGAGCCAGGGATGTATCGGAATTCGGATTTTGATTTAAGAAAGTGAATTTTATCGAGGTTTCGGTTTAGGAGATGAGGTAAAATATCGGCAAAGAGCCAGAATCCAATAAATTCTCCGAATGTAGTGTCCCTTGCAAGCTCCCGACTATCGAAGTTTGTATCGAGAGGTTGCGTAAAATATTTGTTTTCCACGAAACCAACAGCGGAGCTGTGACTGTCGGAAGTTGAACTGGTTAGATTCAGCCAGTCGTCGAATTCCCAGAAGTATTTGTTCAAATGAGAAATATCGTCGGTGAAAATGGTCAGAAGGTCGAAACAGTGTGTGGAACGGGAAGTCTTGCAGTTAATGGTGGTCCAAGGTGGGGAAATTTTGACGCTAAATTTTGAATAGTATCGATTGTAGCAGTGGAGAGAAATTTGATGTTTATCAGCTGATCGCTCCTGCTGCTTGGGCGACAATCGATTAGTTGATTGGTTAGACGACAATTGATCTTGCGGCTGGTTGGACAATGGTTTATCAGCTGATGTTTCCATCTGGTTGCACAATAATTGATCAGCTGGTACCAGAACTAAGTTAAGTGATTTGTACGACGTCACAATTCTCAAACCCAAGGATTGAACCACTTTTTGATACTCTGATTTAAATTTCGTCACCAAAACCATATATTGCGGAATATAGACCTTTCCAACGTAATATTGCTTCTCGGTAAAGTAAGTGACTAAATCGTGCTTATACTGGTTACTCCTCCAGTAATGTACGGCTTCGTCAAGGTAAGGATCGTTTTCTGGCAGGAGGATTATATATGCCCAACAATGGCCAAGGATGTTTCTTCGCCGAGTTATGTATATTCTTAGGGTGTCGGTCATACCGTAATCCGTCTCGGAAAGGGCGCCATCGACCAAGATGATGGGGGTACTTGAGACAAAAATATGGGTCCCATTTCTCACTTCAAGGATGGTCGAACAGTTTGAAAAGATTTGTAGGAGATGGGAAAGTGCTGTCCAGTTGTGAAAACCAATGGGGTCCATTGACCGCGTGGGCGGGGCGACAGAGATTTCGACGTTTGCGTAAAGGAAGCTGACGAATTTTGTAAAGAGTAAGGATATCGTAAACCAAAAGAACTGAGGAGATGTAAAAGTCAGTAAAATATTGGAAGTTGTCATGATTCAAAAGTTGAAGGGAATGACAAAACGCTTGTAAATAGGAATGTGGAAATTGGAGATCGATCTAACAAGGGAAGGTTCCCGACTGCTCCGCGTTTCCAGGGTCATACAAATTTGCCAAATTTGCATGTTTTTATTCTTGAAACCGCCATAACTTTTGAAATCCTGGGCGGATTTTTAAAAAAATTCCAAAAATCATTAAAACAAGTTCAACTTTCGTATGCCATGAAATTTTAAAAAATTTATTGTTTCAATTTTTGTCAAAATCTTGGAATTTTCTTACGCTTGGGGATTCGCCAAAAAAATATAAAAAATAAAAATATTAAATTTTTTTATTATTTCTGAAAATTTTGATCTTTGTGATCATTTTGAGCCCAAAATTTTGAAAATCCCCCGGAAACTGCAAAAGCAATGGAGGTTTGAAATTGGTCGGAAATGTAGATCTTTAAGTTTGGCGCCACGCCATGGCGCCAAATATGCGATTAACACGGAAACATGAATGGATCCTTCATTTAGGGTCCTAGTAGATTCTAAAAAACATAGTGGGTACCCTGGGGACGCGGAGCAGTCGGGAACCGTCCCTTGTAAGTATGACTTGGGAGTAATTGCATTTAAATACGTGAGAGTAGGCGTTGTCTGGGTTGCTTAGTATTTATTTAGTATAAATTTATAACGTAGTTACAGGTATCTTAAACTCTCCATTAGCACAATTGATATATTTAGTGGGCGTAGGATATACTTATCGTTAATTTTAATACGACAACACTTTGAGGAGCTGAAGTAATCATACACTCTAAGAAACTGGGTGATAACCGTTATCATTTGCATCGCCATATGGCTCTACCGCCTCTTATGATAGGCAACGCCACCTTCTTGGTCACATTATATCACCACTAGGTGGCAGAGTATCACCAAATGGTAGCAAACTATCCTGTGGGATGACATACCTCTACTGCGCGGTGGTATTTATCACGATCCGGTAGAGTCATATATATTCAGCGCCCGGTTATAAAACGGTGTTGCGGATTCCCTTGCCGTTATTTTCAGATTGTCCATGGTAATTATGCAGTGAATTATTGTATGCTTTTAAGATGGCATGAAGTGTTTATTTTATCACCTGGAACCACAGTCGAACCATAATTACACTTGTAACAAGTAATTCATCGTGTCAATAAATTTACCCATTGCTCAATCACGCTTCAAGGGTCAAACCGTAATGCGCTTATCTTAATGGATTTAGTGGATACGTGACTCGCCACCAATTAAATTGTCGTACCATACTTTGCACTTAACTTGTTATTGTCATACGTTACTATTATCTTGGAAATCCCAATTTTGACTAATGCACACTCACAACGAATCTCCACCGTACTATTTTCCCAATATATACTCGGCCTGTTTCTGATGAGCATCACTTTAATTTACAGAACAACTACATACGTAAACCTCATCAATTACTAATCCAAACTTCATCACAGCCAGGTAAGAGTCACAAAAAGCTTTGAAATTTGTCGTTATGTCCAGTGTTCATCAAAAAGTAAGAATGGAATGCTTTCATTCTATTTAACTTTTGAATTTTTTTTTCGCCTATTTATTCCTCTTACATTTATTCCTCTTACATTTTTGATGTTTTAACAGTCCCCATCTGGCACTTAGTTCAAAACTTCCAAATTTCAATAAAGCTAAAACGAATCAATCCGAACAAAAAATTGGATTAAAAACGATTTTTGCTTCGCGATCCCTCAATTTTTCTTTAAATTTCAACTTAATGCAATTAATCATTATTTTAATCCCAAAATTTACCACGTTTCCAGCAAAATGGAAGGCAGCCTCTTCATCCTTCAACTTTTTGTCGCCGTTCTCATCCCTAACCTTGTCTCTAGCACGGCCGATTATGGCGAAGCCTGCAGCAGCACTAATGCTTGCATTCCATATGGCAACAATCCTGATCAAAAGGTCGTCTGTATGTACCGTGGGCCGGCATCTGTGTTCTGCAACACGGTGAACGTTGAAGTTGGACGTTGTCAATGCGCAAGGAACTGTGGCATGGCTAATTTCTATAACGATGTTGGAGAATTTCTACCCGAAGAAGGTCGCTGTGTTGGCTTTGTGGGGACTTCTTGCTATGATGGTTGGGCGCAGAATGATTGCGTGCCAAACTCATACTGCCCTCAAAACAGGAGGATTTGTGAATGCAATTTGGGATTTGAAGTATCTTCGGATGGGAAACATTGTGTGAGATCGAGTGCAACAATTTAAATTTGAGGAATAATGACAGAATCACAAATTTTAATGACAATTGAGCATGTACGCTACACATAATGGTTTATAAAGTCATTACATCAATAAAAGAAAATAATGAGTGATCAAATGCATGTAAAGCATGATTCATACTGATTTGTTATTTAAACAAGTCCGGATAGTAGACTTCGCTATAAAATATTCGATATGTTTTCAGTACTTATCCAAAATGTTAGCCTAATGAAATGATCATCAGAACTCAAATTATGGTTTTTTCCCACTAAAACGATTTTATTGGGCTAACATTTCGGATAGTTACTGAGAACATATCGAGTATTTTATAGCGAAGTCTACTATCCGGACTTGCCTTTAATACAGAAAAACGACTTATATAATCGGACATTTTGATCGTGGAATTATACATAAAGGCAGGAAATGCAATAATTTGCAAACTTCGACAATTTTCGAAATTGGTGCCCAATTTGGAAGTAGTGCGCAAATACCAGCCCAAAATAAGTAAAAAATATTTCTAGCTATATCTGACCAATTTTGTACGAAAATAGGTTAAAAATCGAAAATCTCAAAATTCGCAATTAATTCGCACATTTTGGCAAATATCTCGAAAACTGGCTATGCGCGCCCCCATCTTATTCCGGATTCTTACACTACAAAAAATTACGCAAATTTTGAGGTATCATACGCATCGCTTTCAGAACCACCGTTCATTCCCTTAATCCAAAACAGATGCAAAATCGAAAGACCTATTCAAAAAAAATTTATCAGAAATATTTGGCCGGCGATAAGGCAGAATATGTGGTGACATTGGATGAAGCAATGTTTTATGTGCAAAATTGCAACGGGAAGAGAAAAGTGTGTTACGTCAAACGAGGAGAAAACATTCCCGACAATCGGGTGGTGCAGAAGAACAACTTTTTGAAGATCATTCCATTTGATGATCATTTCGAGTTCCAAAATGGAACTCGAAAATTTAAAATCTCAAATTTATCATGACGCCATTTCTGAATCGGAGGATGTGGACAGTGATTCTGAGAAAATAAACATGGGATACCAGTAGATATTAATTAAAGGATTAAGAAATTGTTGGAATTAGGAATCACCAAACCAAATCAAATTCTGTTGTCACTGCAGAAAGAGGGAGGAGATCGCCTTTCAAAACTGCAACAAAATAATTTTCTGCAAACTAATAACTCGATCACTAGCTGTCTTCTTTGACAAATCATTGCAATCCCTTCAATTGGTCTCAGCTAAGGAAGCCGTAGAATGTTGACTTGATTCTATTTATGGTAGAACCGGTATTAACTCTCTCTGTGACAACAAAAGCATACAATTGGACCAGCACTGAAAACGCTAAGCTAGGAAATGTAGGAAATGTATTGGGGGTACTCATGACAAGGTCTGGAAAACATGAAACATGTCAATTTTCTAGAGAAAAGAATTGACGCTGAGTCGTTTCTTACATTTCTGGCACTGCAGTTAGGTTGCCCTTAAAACCATCATAGGAATTTTGGCAAAGAAAAGTAATTAGCGAAGCAAGAGCAGCCTCACAGTCCCCTTAATGCACAACCCCGTCGTTCCCAGAGGTGTCAATATATCGATGAAATTACTGCTAAAGCGTATCTTCAATGGGTGACAAGCTTTGAGCCGTTTACGCCACAACATCCTCCGCCTTCCGGCGATTATTTTGTACATCTTCAACTTGGAGATCAGCACGGCTGATGTTTTGTTAACTAGTCCGCATAACGTTCCGACGAAGAGAATAACGACCACGCTCTCCACCAAGACCGCGACGAAGACAATGTTTCCCCAATTTTGGAATAAGTTAGGTCCGTAGGAGACGCAGAGGAAGGCGCCGATCACCTGGCATAATCCGTAAAGGAGAAACATCCCGGGCAGAAAGGTTCTTCGGAAGCAGATGTTGACTTGGGCTTCAAGGATTTTTAAGTTTTTCAGCTCTGCGATGCATCTTTCGGGTATGGTTCGAAATTCGGGCCAGGATTTGACCCTGTGGTACGACCTATAGAGATGAAGGGGGTAAGATATGACAAAATTTGAGATACTAAGAAGATCGGGGTTGCCTAATTCCCGTCCAAAACATTTTTTCCCAGGACAGTGGGAAAAATGGAGCGCCACCTAGAGGTACGCAGGGGCGTTATCTAGTGGAATCTGCCCAAGAACTACATTTTTCCCACATTTTTCCATTTCCCACTCGTATTAGTGGGTGGGAAAAAGTGTTTTTCCCACTCTCCGGTAAGAAGTGATAAATACCACTTGCAAGACTGAAGAGGGGAACCAACCTGATTACGTCCTTTAGATAGATGTAGAGGCAGAAGACGGATGGCATAAATATGTTTACAGTTACGGTAAACAGATTTCCCGCTATGACGGTGAATTCCCAATATTCGAGTACCACCACAGATGCGTAAATCAAGATCAACGTAAGCGTCCCTCCACGATCGACATTTTCATTACTGAATCCTGTCAAGAAAATTATTTTGATTGTAGATTATCCCAAATGTATCAATTGTTAACGTCCAGTGACTTCAACGTTATTTATCAAAAGCCTATTTATTACTGATAATGGAACTTTTCAGGACCGTACACTCTAAGAAACTGGGTGATATCCGTTATCATGTTCATCACCGTTTGACTCTACCGCCTCTGCTGATAAGCAGCGCCACATTCTTAGTCACATTATATCACCACTAGGTCACAGAGTACCACCAAATGGTAGCAACCTATCACTGCCGGGTGACATACCTCCACCGCACGGTGGTATTTAGCACCATCCGTTAGTGTCATATATCTATAGTCACCGCCCGGTGATTAAACGGTGATAGAATTTCGTACAATGTAGGTTTCCCGAATTGATTTCATTTAATGAAAAAAACTGCCGGTAGTAGTGGAGAAATTTTAACCCGAAAGATCATATACACGAGTGAAGATGGCTTCCGTGGAATTTCTAAATTTCTGACGTTTCGGGCAGGCGCTTCTCAACTACTCCTGGCCGATAGTTGCCCTACCAAATTTAGTAGTTGAAATTTTGGCGATGGAATTTCAGTGAATTCGGTGTCGATAGCGTCGTATATTCCCAATTTTCCGGGAAAATATCGATGATTTAAGGGAATTTTAGAGAATATTGGGAATACTCCATAACGGCAAGATTTCCAAAGTTACCAATTTTCCGGGAGTATATTCGCATGTAGAGGGAATTGGACAACCCTAGCCTCGCGCATTTCCGGACAATTTAATGTGGGACATGAAAATGCTTACCCTTTCCCCATGGCATTACGGACCCTAGAAAGGGCGGCATGCCGACCTCTGTTAGAATCATCACGATCAGAGAGATTGGCACGACGAGGGAACATCCGAATCCGAACGTGGCGACGCAACATTTTACAATGTGACGCAGCCTGGTCCAATTTTCAGGTTGACGGTTTCTGCGTCCATAATTTTCTTCGTATACGAGAAACATGTTCAGCAGAGCGGCAAAGTCGGGGGGATATTGAAGCCAGGACGAGAGAAGCATGAAAACCCCGGTCGGCACGGTCATCGAGCATAACAGCGTCCAAGCCGTGCCATTCAGGTCGCGGCGGGAATTAGAAGATTGAAATAATCCGTTGGGCAAAATGAAGACGGCGTAGGCCAAGATGAAAGCAACTTTTAGCCGATGGTTGACATTTTTGGGGAGTTGGGAGATTTTGAAAAATTCGCTTTTCGTAGTTTTGTCAACCACGAGAGAAATCGGGGTGGGGAGGAATAGAGATAGGAATTTGAACTGATGTCTCGTAACAGGTAAAGTTCCGGCGAGGAACATTTTTCTTCCTAAAGTGCTGTTTATACGTGACCTATTTACGCGGAATGAAATTTGATACAAATTCCAGGAGCCAATTTACTGGTGGCACGAGCAAAGTTTCTGTATTTCTTCAAAATTGTTGTTGCCTAGCAACAATTTTTAGTGCCCACTACTATTTCTGATCTTTATTACGTGAAATATGTAACGTGCAAAGATTTATTGCAAATTCCATGCGTAATTTTCATTGGTGACCATTTTGTAAAATTTGGATGAAATTTTCAAGTTATTTCACATAAAAAACGTGAGGGATAAACATCAGTTCAGCTTTAATTTTAAAAAATTCGTGTTAATTATCACCGCGCGGTGTGTATAAATATGTGCCTCCACCGCGGTGGGGTTTAATTTTACACGGCATTGTGTTCAGATTTCCGCCAAGGGGTAACGATTTATCCCACCGGGGCCAAAATTGACCCCATGTCGGTATAAATTTAATACACGCGATAGAATCACATATGTATACAGATCGCGTGGGGATAATTGAGACCAATTTTTTGCAGGGTTCGTTTAAAAATAGAGTAATTTTCTTTTCTGAGTTTTTGGCTTTCTATTGAGCCGGATGGAGAAAGTATATAAGTACGAAGATAGATAGTTGGACGTGGGTTCACCTTCAAAACCATGGGTCAGAATGGCGAGATTATTGGGATTTGTGTTAAATAATTAATTTTCTCACCAGATCAATAATGTTCCCAGTTTGGAACATGGGAAAGTAAAATTAAATAAATAAAATTAAAGTAAAGGCTCATAACATATAACTATATAACTACATATTAATTCAAATTGAATGAACATACATAAATTTATTTCCAAATTGATAATTAAGACCATATAGATTAAACTGTTAATATTTCAATTAGGCAATACATATCAGGCGGGTGGGGTTTGGATAATTGAAAAGTTTTTAATTATATTGGATTAATAAATTAGATTGGAAAATATGTACGACATCAGGAGTTGTGAAGGCTACTTAGATTCTGAAGTATTCCGTGGTGGGATGCATTGGTGTACTATCAGTGTTTTAAGTGGTATTTACCACTTTTTACCGGATAGTGGGAAAAGGTGGGAAAAAGACACTTTTTCCCAACCACCAAAATCATTGGAAAATGGGAAAAAGTGGGAAAAAGTAAGGGTCTAGGCAGATTCTGCTAGATGGCGCCCCTACCTACCGCTAGGTGGCGCTCTATTTTCCAACTTCTCACGGCGAAAAAGTGGGTGAGAAAAAGTGTCTTTTTCCCACTGTCCTGGGGAAAAATGTTTTGGACATGCAAC